ATTGATCCTTTTGACGGACTAATGAGCATCCGTCCGTTAGGTTCTTTTGAAGCATGAGCCTGTCCAGATGGTCTTTTCCACCGTATCCCCTGTTATACCGTCATCAATCACTCACAACGAGCTCGTCCCATGATATAATGACCCAGTACGTTATTTTGACGATAGCTGAGTCGCAGCAGTGCCGCTTGTTATTCTTAGTATTAGTACACTCGTCAAACCCATGTCAATGCCACTGACTTCGATCGAGCAACGTAAATGGGACGTGACTGACACGGTTCTTTTGTCGGATTTGCTGATTGAGAAAAAAGGGATCCCCCAACTCGGTTGACCAATCCTATCGGAACGAGACGCAACTGGGCGCTCCTGTACCGTGGACCAGTTGGGTGGCAGTTTAGCTTAGTCCTTTGGCATAATTGGGGAAAAGATGAGTAAGGGCAAACCAAGACCCATAAACATCGATGCATAGCTATGTACTGTTCACGTTCTTCGTGAAGCAATCAGAATAAGCCGATGCGTCGATGTCAGTTGGTTAGTCGTATCTTTAGTGGCCTTGGTTGTAGTCATTGCAAGCAATGAAGGCCTACAGACAAAACTTCGATCGGACCAACAATAAGCGATTCTCAAGATCTTGCTGTTAGGCACTGCGCATTGAGTGCAGTTCAGCCAAGAAACACGACCTGAACAGCGCATTTCTGTTAGGCTCTTGCTGAAACCGCTCAACAAAAACGAGTACCGATTTTGTCTTTGTCTCCGACGGTGTGAAGGCACTTATTAGGTCCCTCACTAAAGCAGGTGATCCACGTAACTCCAGGAATCGGAAGTGAATATAGTTAGATTACCACCCAGTGGGTTATGCAAAAAGGACGTATATAATGGTCACCACCCAGGGTACACACAGCAAAGACGCTGCTGGTAACGACAAACACCAGGAGGAAATCAAACACTTTTGCCATAACTCAGAGTAAGCTGTAAGGCGGAAACGGGTGCCATGGATTGCACACTATGTGAAACATGACTGATCTGGGCGGGGGCTACTGGTGTCCTACGAGAGCCAAACAAGCCGTCTAATAGCTTTCGTGATCGGGGAAGATGAACCAACTCCTTGCCGATGAGTGGTGCCATCATTTGGGTGGTAATGGGGTGGATTGGGAACGATCACTGATCGAAGGGAGAGGAGTACCCACCTGTTCTCCGCGGCGCAGAACTGGTACATGGGAGAACACACTGCGACAGCTCCTGATGATGCAAAAGTCAATTTCGGCAGCATCGAGATAAGCCTCTAAAAACGGCTTACAACCGAACCAAAAGTATGCTTGTTATATCAGCAACATCCTATCCGTAACTTAAAAAGGTAAATTCGTGCAAGATTAGTAGTGGTAATTCGAAGAAGGCAACAATCATCATCATTGTCGGCTGTAATAACCGCGTACTTGTCGTAAAGTGGTTGTAGCTGTCAAGGTTTCGTTCACCGATGAATCGGGGAGGTGGGGTAAGTAGTTGCGCACTGGAGGCGGGAGCTGATAAATTAGCGCATCCACAGTGCACCGTAGATGGACTGTTAAGGAGGGATTGGGAGAGAGCCATATACTGAAGGCAATAGCTTGGATGCATGAGCGCCATTGAGGGCGCGACTGGGCCAGATCTGACAATGTCTCTAACCACAAGAAAACAATTCAGACAGTACATCGGGGAGGGGGAAATCCATAAGTTTAAAATATAGCGGCACAGCGACGCTGATATTGGCTATTCAACAGGCTTTGTGACTTCGATCTAATTGAAAAGACAGTGTCCCAGCGACCAATGAGAAACTCCGAGTTTTCCTCGACAGACCTGGAAGCAACTGTTTTCGCATTCTAAATTCCCTCCAAACGTGTTCAGCAAGGATGCTTCAGCTAAGTCCTCGCTAGCTCAGGAAAGTTGAGGCTGTCTGTGTCATAGTTTGGATAACCAGAAGAAATATCCATTCAAAGCCAGCGAAAAACGTAATGGAGCAAGTGGTTTCCGGTGCGGTTCAACAACGACATTCGTGAAGCCGAGCCATCTGACATGATCATTCACAACATATCAGCGGAGATAGTGTGGATGACGGATAGCCTTTACAAGAAAACGATGCGAAACGAGGGGACTATTACCAGTACCGAAAGACTGCGTGACATGCGCATTGCCTCAAAACCTAGTGGATTAGATCTTAAGGCAATCCTCCAGACACGCGTCGGATTTATTAGCAACGGCCACTCCCAATTCATTAACAAATTCGTACCATCGGGAGGGAGGTGCAGTCTATGGCATGCAATGTGGCAAGCGAATTCCAGTGTCTGGGCTGAGTATTTTTGTAGGAACGACCCGGTAGCGAGGTACTGGAATCCAAACCACAAAAGGAACTCGCCATGTCTACACATAGTTTTCGCTTTTCGTGCGTGGTCTGGGTGTTCAGTTAATCGGATGTTCCCACCAGCAACTTTTGCTACACCTTCTTCATTGTTTCAATTATTCCGTTGATGTTGACAAACCCCCGGGTCAGTGTGCCGGAGATGCTGCAACTGAACAGACTAGCTAGATAGCAATGAAGCTCATTAGAATCATTCACCAGATGAATTTTATCCCCCGGACCATTATCACCAATAAATGCTAATGCCTGTCGGCTAAACAACCAAGAAAATCTGAACATTGGAAGGAAGGAAAGACGATGAGACATTACAACCACATTTTCTCATGAAAAAACGACCGAAAACGAAATTTCCGGTCGAGGTGGGTGAAGGGCTATCACGATAATTACGATGTCCCCAGAAAGCTCAGCTAAAAAAACTGTGATGGCGCACTTGATACTGATATGCCAAAAAAAGATGATTTCCCATGTCTTTAGTTTTAGTGCTGTGTGGAAGGTCATCACTCTTAAGATGTAGCTGTTTCGGTTCCAACAGGCAAGCGACTCAACTTCCAACCAGCGACTGTTTGTTCGTACCGACTAGGACATAACCCACGCGGGACCTTTCACTTACACTTCCTCATCCACAAATGTAACAACCAAAGCTAATGCGCCAGCTAACGAACGGTGTAACCAAGGTGGTCCGCACAACTGGCAGTAAAGTCAGCAAAGTCACCGGACCATGCTATGGATGGATGGATGGTAACCGTTCGGACATCGAACTCATGGCATGTGAATGACTGAAGTACTGTGAACAAAATCCCACGAAGGATAGACAGTGTCGATTTAACTCACCCGTTCCTCTTCGTACCTAGGTTCCTACTGATAGGTCGCCTCGGTCACAACTTAATGCCGTTTTGTGAGGGTCAAAAAACATCTTTCCAAGTAGAGAAACAGGAAAAGAATCAAAGATAGGCTAATAGCTAAGCGCCAACATGGAAATCAGACCTCCTTGTTTTTTACTCATCTCATTTCGCAGTGAAATGATTCGAGCACGAGGTCATCCTCGTTGTCGCAGGTTGAAAGATATAATTTCATAAGTTCGGAAGCTTACAGGACAACGCAGGCTGTCACATGAAACTGCTACCCTGATGCCTGCTTCGTTCGAACTCGAAAACCCTCATTCTGTTGGGTCCCATGCCACATGTTGCGTGCTAACGACACATGGCATCAATAATGGTTGTCAAACTGAACAGAATTGACCATTTGCATTGTCCACATAAGACGCCATAGCCACAAACGAGCGTTAGGGTGATTAGAGGTGTGATGCATTTGCGTTCGTGTTCATCCATCCTCGAAAGCACATGTAAATCGCATATCTGACTGGTTCCTCGAACTGGCATTTCTGTTGTGCAGCGGATTTCCATGAGGTAACCAAGGAGAGTGATTTACAAGAGGGATGTTTCGGGGCTTGATAGGTTGGACACGGCTTACAGAAATCTCTTCACAACTGACGGAATCAAATAGCACCAAAACAGCCCAAACCAAACCTCCAAGATTGATAATTTCATCCTTCAGTTACATTGCAGCATTAAATTTGATGAACTAACTGCAACATACAGCTATTGTTTGTTCAGTATAATTGTTCTGGATAGTTGTTTCACAAAACACCTTGAAGTAAAACAGCCGTCGATCACATGCTCGAGCACGCTCACTTGTGTTGATGAGTGGGTTTCGTTAACGTTAACCTTCATAGCAAAAAAGGTCAAATACGCAGGGTGCGCTTCGAAGCATGTAATTGATCTGTACATCCTACGTTCAGTTCGATGATTACACCGAATATGCGTTAAGCTGGGCAACGTCGTCTTTCATAGTCCGTTACACAAGAGCCACGATAGCGACCTTCTCTCTCCCCCTCATCACACATAAATCGGTCAGCCTTATCAATGTCTGTCAGTTCAATCCGTATATACCTATACGCACATCCGAGCGATGGCCTGAATTTTCTCAAGGGACGGGTAGGACAAGAAGTATTACCAACGAACTGTCGGTCTGTAAAGGAACAAAGTTTGTCAGTGACCTCCAGGGAAGTTGGTTGCGTGAGGCGGTGTGAAAAACCGCATGGTAAACGGTGGGGCGAGGTTACAGCGCGATAGACGGACGTTGAGTGTTCGGTGGACTGGGTTGGTTTATACCCCAGAACTGACGAATACACCAGTCTAGGCAGACACCACCATCGAAACCAAGCATTATTCAGCTCATTCATTCTAGACCGCGATGATAACGTTTTCACTTGTAGTGAAATTTTCGCACGAGCAATATTCGAAGCGAATGATGCTCATAAGATGCTAGCTTACTTATGTCAGGTATATATATAATGACCGGAATCCGGACTTCACAATTGCAAGCAGCACAAAACGATACGCGACCGGAAACGGCGCATCATATTTATTGATTGATATTGTTTCTCAGTAGTATACTCAGACACTGTTAACAGCATCGGCTCGTTGGATTGCTTGACGCGCCTCATGTGTTTACAGGATGTGGAGTCATAAGATTCACGAGGATCGTAATTGGGGCAAATGGGTACCCACGTCCCGATTAACATATGCACCGCCAGAAGAGATTATGTGCAAACAGTTTTATGGCGATGAGCTAAAACAGGTGTTGATGTGGAGAGGCTAACAACATAGACTTTATAGGAAATTTTTCAAACGGAAGTTTGATTGAAAATGCAAGATTGAACATTGTAAGAAATACGCGCTCTGATTTAACTGTTTACGTGGGATACTCAGAAAGTCAAAACGAACGTCTTAATAGTAAGGTTGACCTGCATAAGGATAGCCAGGAACATGCTGCATGTAATAAGGCGCCATCCCAGGGTACGCTGCAACAGGACCGGGTGGAACTTGCCCAGGCCTTCCAGCATATGCATATTTGTAAGGATCTGCCTGCCGGTAGCTGTCCGCAAGAGAGCCAACGGGCGCCACTTCCGTCGCCATCAAATCGTGCGGTTGTTGAGGCTGGCGTTGACCTTTTTGGTCAGGCGATGGATAGGATTGACGTCCATCGGATAAACCACCCCGACCGGCACCACCACCGCGTTTTCCACGTTTGCGACCTCGCCAGTGCTGAGCACTCCCTTCCTCATCTCGGGGAATGGCCTGATGGCCAGGAGCCCCCTCATCACTGCCCCTGGAACCAAACTTTTGAGCTGATCCACTGCCCGCTCTAACTGGTTCTTTCTTCTGTTGGCCAACAGGAGTCTGGCTTTTTGGAACCTCCCCATATGGTTGCTTGTATGTTGAATATCGCTGAGGACCGAATCCTTGGCCCGATTTACTCTCAAGATTTGAGTAGTCCGTCAATTTTTGTGGCTGACCAAACTTAGCTCTCTCGTCGTCCATACCACTACCGCAACGTTCCATTCGACCAGATCCAAACTTGTTTGGCTCACTGCCGTATGGTGGCCGGTTACCCATTGCACCAGCTCCGCGGTCCATTGATCCAGATGTAGGGCCCTTGGGGTAACCACTAGACGAACGCCCACCAAGAACATCAACGTTCGCGTTCTGTTGGGAACCAACTGACTGTTGCTGCATGGATGGCTGTTGTTGAGAGAACCGGTCACTAGGTAGCATCATCAGTGTATCAATGGCCTGTTGAACAACTGGATTTGCCATGCCAGGTGGCACCTGTTGAACATTAGAAGCATTCATCTGGGACTGTGGAGTGACCGTAGAATTCGGAAGGGCCTGGAAGCTACCTAATCCAGTCAAAGAGTTGGTCGGAGTACTGCTCACTGGTGTTTGAGGATAGAGCATATTGAGTATCCGAGATTTCAAGTCCGTTGTATTTCCATTGTGTCCATCAGCTAAGTCGAAAATTTAGTACATATAGATAAGACCGATTGTGTAAGGAAAGAAAAGCAGTTTACACTGGAAACATCACTGACTACATACAATCCGCATTTTTACATCTACCTACGCACACATTATCGAAAAAACAAAACAAAACAGTGTGCTCGATCCCGATCAATTTGACCGCCTGTGGTAGTGACTGAACAAGCACAACACTGCCTTCTAAATGAACTCGGCGGAGAAATACGGTATGGAAGCGGTTCGACTGATGGGGACCAGAACTACTTTGTTTTGTTTTTGCGATGCGGACAGTTCATGGGTAACAAGTGAGACGACCATTAGCTATGTGTATGACGTCGTTCGGATCAATGTCGACACTTGCCAAATCAATGTAGGAAACGAAAGCCACTCAAAGCAGAAAAATATAAATAAGTCAAGTTAGTCCGTTCATATTAGCAGCTTTTTATGCACGGTAAATCATTCGCTTCTCTAAAAAGTTGTCCGGAGGACGAATTTCGATAGCGTACCAAGAGGGCTGGGTGCCATATACGACAAAGCGATTCCAGCAAACGGGGCAACCAATGGATGGAACCATTGCTAAAGGAGCTCACGCGTACATCGTAGAGAAGTTACACCTTGATTGAGTTGGTACGGGAATTTCGCCTGCAGGATTCAGCCTTCGGAGACCTTCCGTACAATGCGCCAGTCGCTTGACTGACAACCCAGATGTGGCGCTAAAAACCTCAGAAAGACCGGCGCAATGATCATCCTCATCGAAATTCAACTCTTTGGGATGGTAAAGAGTATCATCGGAGTAGGTCCAGTGACAGCATCAATGAGAAAACTGAATGTTCGATTCCCCTCCATGCTATCCGTATGCCTTACAGTTGGAGGCTTCCGTGCAGCATTCCCACAAATGTCGAAAGCAATTGCCAGTATGCCCTTCAAGTTGTAATGCCGGTAGCTCTTTTTTGCACAGCTAGATGTTTTAAGGAGCTTTCAGGGATAAGTTGTAGAAACCCAATACAAAATATCTTCATATAAGCACGTTCCCCATCCGGTGCACCATTTGATAAATAAGTGCATATCAACGTTCAGAAAGAACTCACGGCTAGTAGATATGCGAGGGACGCGGGAATAAACGCAATGAAAGATTCGAAGTGAACAATTCTTGAAGGATAAAAAATGAGTTCAACTTTAACGCCTTTCCGGTGCCTAGCTGTCGTGCTACACTGGAAAGCACGAGAGTTGAGATGCTATCAGGTAGTCCAAGAGTAGACAGGAGCAGTTTAGATGGCGGAGATGTGTGCGACCTCCATTGTAAGAGCCTCAGCTACCGCGACTATCATCCTGTATGACGTAAAGTGCCCTCCAGAGGACGGAGATTGTAGTCATTCATAACAATCATCTAGAGGCATTCCGGTAGATTGAGTTTTAAGGGGCCAGAAAACGGAACACAAAAAACAAACGAGTTTACTTTCGACCGCGGAGATAACGCGTATCAGGCTCATGCTGTCAATACGCAGAAATGCTGGTCTGAGGTGGTTCGGGACAGAAATGCGCCATTCCGCATGTCATGCGAAAGCCGAGGCGCATTCAGATTGATAGTTCACTGGTTAAGAGGTAAACTTAATGATTTAGAAACCAGTGGTTCGAACCAAACCCCAACATCTCGCTTGTTCCAGTCTGGGCTTGAGCAACCTGGCAATATCTCAGCTTTCTTGCTCCCTGCCTGCGCTCCTTCACCTGTCACTCTAAGATGGAGGCGTTCTTCAGAATATGGAAAAAGAAATTCGGTCTTGGATTTCGGTAATTTTGAATGTTGCAGAAGTGTTACCTGAGCTCAGCAGGAATTTGTCTGGTTCTGTGTACCAGATGCGTGCGATTGTCATCCCTTCCGTGTATTTGTGACTGGGTTCGAATATTGTTGTATCAACTACAAGCTCAAGCGAGCACTCCAAACATTGATTCGCGCTATCCACACATCCACTGCAGATTGCCATCATCGTGGGAACTGCGTACTTGTCGTACAGTGGCTATGGCTGCCACAGTTTCGTTCGCCGATGATTTGGGGAGGTGGGGTAGGTAGTTGCGCATTGGAGGCGGGAACTGATTTGACTGATGCTCCCCACTTTCAAGTGGGGAGATTGGGAGGGGAGCTATGCATTGAAAGCAATAGCTTGGATGCACAAACGCCATTGAGGGCACGACTGGTCCATGCCTGACAATGTCTCTAACCATTGATGTGGCCCGTCTGGAGTCCCCATCCAGAGAGACGGAAATGACCAGCGCAAATGAGTTTGCTGGTAATGGTTTTCATACTTTGCTGCCAAGTTATTCTTGACCTCTCCTGGCTCGTTTCCACCCTTCGCGTGATTGTGCTAAAAAACCTTCGAGAGACGGTTGACTGGGGTACGGAGTACGTGGTCAAGCCAGCGCAACTTATGGTTTGCTGACAGGTCAGTTCCATGGATTACCGGTCGAGAAATTGAGTAAAACAGAGATTTTCCGCAGGTTGAGTTTGTGAATTTTCCGTTGTCCTCGCGCAAAGAATACAATAACAAAGAAGCGACAATAAATCCACCGATTGTTTACCAAACCCCTCTGAAACGATGACTTCCCAATCGGTCCCAAACATTTTCCAATTGATTGAAAAGAAGCGACATCATTACCATCGACAGCATAACATGAGTGTTCAACACCGATGCTTCGCTGCTGTACAACCGTGATTTATTTGAAAGCTATATTGTGAAGTGACCGAACCATTGTGATACTGCGTTCACCAACAACTCGGAGTAGGAATATAGGTTACATTCAGGATCGACAACACAAAGGCATCCAAGGAGTTAAACGTAATCAATGGTCAGTGCGGTCAATAATCCTGGGCCCTTGCACATTTCTGGCTGTTCACATTGCTTCGCCGTATGTGGAAGCCTGGTTATGGTCACGTATTTGGATAGCTCGTTTGGAGAACAAAGTTGCCTTCATCCAGAGATAGAAAACGTCCGAGGGACTACAACACTGGAATCTTTACAAACGGCTTCCTTGCGTCCCGGCGTCGTAAACTGTGATAACGACATACTCAAATCTCAACGCGTTCCAGTAATTCCACATTCCCGAAACGTGTCTTGCCCAAAGGCAAATACTGGTGTTTTTATATTCTCATCCACAGTGTTCATTCGCCTTAATCGGTAGCAAACGGTAGTCAAATCATAGTGTTATCGATATACTCGGGGCAATACGACCTGAGTTGACAAGGGCGTCTCGTATGTGAAGTTTGAACAGAGTTGTACATTGAGAAACGCGAGTTGTCAGAAGATTCCACCGAATGCTCCACTGATTCTCACAGTGGAAAGAGCTGAATAGAAAATTCCCCTTACAGGTGGTACCGAGAACCTCTAGTTCTTGAGGCAAGCCACTGCGATCTGATCCATCGGACGATCTGCTATGATCCACTAGGATTGAGTCTGTACCCATTCCTCCATTTAATGATCTACTATAAATGTCCTGTGGACCATTTTGAACAAAGACATATCATTGCGATGCTTTTCTGGATACCGTGCGCAGCTAAATGTTACCTTTCTGACAGTAAGTAAGTGTCGCAATAGTTTGGATTGAGCTCGAAATGACCAAAAAACCAAGGTGCGAAATTGCTGACCCAAATATCCGTGGTTCGAACTGGATTCTGGCTTCTCAGCTACTTCTGTCTACTAGTATTTCAGGTTTGGTGCTTTCCTCAAGTTGCATGGGGGTTACGCAGCGGATGGATGCCACAGGCGGACGACTGTCATCATATCAATTGTCTGGATTATGCCTATGGTTGTCCATAATATCTTTTCAAGGAGCGAGCATCTGCTGGAAATTGTTGTTGAGCGTGATCACTGAGGAGTCTAAACAGCGGTCGACCTTAACGACGGGAATGAGGCGGCTCCATGAATGTCCAACAACGCAGCCGCCCATGTTCGATGATTCAGTTAGGTTGGTGTTTACGATAAATACGTGTAACATGAATAGACTGGAGGTTAAGACATCTAAGTTAACCGTACGTCATCTTTTTAGCTGGTCACGTTAAACCTTAACCTTCACATGGACTTGGACCAAGTAACTCATGGACTGGCCATTTAGCTGGTCTCTGGTATGACCACCGGGAAGAATAAAGGTAAAACTAATCGTTCGGCGCTTAGGTGCAATGCCACCTGAAAGAAGCATAAGGGATGGGACACAACCAGGTTTTCCAAGCCCAGACAGAAGTCCAGAAGCACAAGTCGGGTTCGAACCACGGACTTTCCGGTCAGTAAATTCACGCACTAACCACTGAGTCATCTCGCCAACAGCAGAAGTAATCGGACAGGGGGAGAAGTTCGATAGGGACATTAAATAGTACGATAATCCATAAGGCAGCATTGACAATCCAGACAAAACCGACGCGGAAGCCGACAACGCAAGTAATGGTAGGGTTTTGGAGCTTGAAGCAGTGTTCCGGCGTGTGACACAGAGAAAATCGGATCTGCACATCCCTCACAGAGGCGAAAAACTTCTTGGTGCGTGCGTGAGTTTCTTCGTTGCAAGGCGACAGTCAAGTACTGGGAATTGTGGTAAAATTGAAGTGTCTTATTCAGCCTCCTTGATGGAATCGGAAAGACATGGAACAGGTTCGGGAATGCCATGCACAGAATATTATGGCTAGAACACCATCCTATCCCAGGTACACTGGATTTGGGGAGTTGGTGGTCCATAATCCATTCTTTTGCTGCTGTTGGGGCGACGACGTATCCATAGCCGGTGTCACACACACGAACCTCCCTAATCCGTTTGAAATATTGTCGGGAAATTGGCTGGAATGCTCCGCCTAGCCGGATTGTGTAGCAGAGGATTCAGAGGGGAATGAATCCTACCCGATGCTCTGCGATAGGAAAATAGGAGCTTCCAGAAACGACTCATATCCGAAGTTGTTTCTACGGTTGGTTAAAGAGCGGTTGCGACCACTCAGCATTATGAGTTAAGCTTCAGTGCGCCCCCGCACCGTGCAAGGTAATTGAGCGACAACTGTCCAGACGAGTTCCCTTTTGACCAAACTGTTGCGAAAATTGTGATACGAGAGCTTGATTATGTGCCGGTGTTCGCTTGGACACTATCAACCTATCGTTGCTGTTTTTTTTTTGAAGACCTTCATAACCGTTCGTATCTAATAACCGGTAAGTTCACTGAGGGTTGATCAGGAGGCCATTGATTTGTTCACGGAGTTGCGCATCAGAAAAATATCACTGAAGTTGAAGGAGTGCATTCGAAATAAGCAAATGACCCAAAGGTTTCAGTCTTCTGTTGACTGCAGCATGTCCTGAGCCGGCTGGTCCGCATGCGAACAGATAATGCTTGTATGTTGGGACGGTGAGGGCATGTTTGCCGAATCACTACAGGAAGCCGCTTTGTTGGAGAGTTGCGCAGAACCAGGAACGACGTAACAACACAAAACGGGAGCCGTCAGTTCAAAGGGTTTCGGAAATTTTGATATTGTAGAATAGAAATGTGCCGTTTCATAATTCTGTGTGAAATCAGGTTGTCTGGACAAACTAAAACAATCATACGAAAGTTCATCACGCAGCGAGTGCAGACCATACTATGACATCCTTCATTAGTATCCGCATTCCGCGATTTCCAAATATCAATGCCAATCATAAATGGCACCTGGTGAATAATTTCCATAGGATGTAACAAAAATCCGACAAGTGTCGGGAAGATAAACAGTACGTAACTAACCGATCGACCATAAAATGAATTCAGCTACCAATCATCCTGACACAAACTGCGTAGAAAACTGCCGCTTCACTGACACCAAAGGAAGTGATCCCTCAGCAAGAATGAAATAGTGTCTATGCGATTGATCCTCCACGACGGTGTCGCCAATATGCCTGAAGTGCTTCTTGACATTTTGGATTGGAAACGTAGGTAAGAGACGAAATACACAAGCGCACACAGCGCTGCGGTCCTTAATGAACGCGACGCAACAAAAAATCACACTAACTTGAATAGGGTCATAGAGGGCATTTTCGAAGACACTCCAGCTCACCTGGTGGGAAACCACAATGATGACCCTCGTTGTTTTGAAGGACTATACGCTTGGTGTCATTGTAATCGTAACGACAACTCTGGATGGTGTTTCGTGCACCATCAGCTGCCCATTGAGAAACAGTCCCATCTCAAGTTTTGAGCTTCGACTTTCAGTTTACCACCAGAATAATATCCACATCAGCAATGTGTATCAGGTATGAGCAGTTTGTTCGCTCCACTGAAATACGCAGATGACCTCCGTGATGTGAACTTAGTCGCACGGTGACACAGCGGAACACTACTAGCAGGAAAACACACTTTGGAGGAGATCAAACAGCGGAAAAAACGAAGCCCTCTATTGTTGGGCTTTGCTCTAGCTGGAGTTTGTATTACATACTGCTGGAATCCGTCGGAGAGCCACCAGTCCACTTGAGGCATAACTTAAAGCTCCCCTTGCACTCGGTCTACTGTTGCGCCAAGTGCAAAGCGGCTACACGCTTGCAGACGGGGTGTTCGAATATATTGGTGCAGCGTCAAAAGAACTAACAAATTCTTGAGTCTTGGTCTAATGTAGAAATTCTGGCGTTTTGATCAAGCCCGAACACGACCGCATGTGTCAAAGAGAACCAACGACGTGACAGTATCACAGAAATCATCACCGATACAATCGCCGACAGCAAAACCAGTGTAGTGCAGTGACGTATGTGCTCCGTATCCAACTTGCCGTCAAGTCATAAATAGTTAACTGTCCCAAATAGCCTACTTTTTGGTGGCAATAGACCTAACCAGTGAGTCATTGGGAATTAAACTTCGATAATAGCCCATGGCCGTGCAATTCGTTGACTGAAGCACGAATTTCGGCAACATTTATGGCATTCAGGACATGGATAAAACGAGGATTTATTACTTACCTGAGGTATCCAGTCGCCGCCCTTCAAGTCGTCGCTTACGTTCCTGTACGAAAGCCGCAATTTCATCTAGTTCTCCTATGCTTAATATCCGAGAGTCGGCTAACATACGGAGAAGGGTGACCATATTTCGGCTAGGAGCAAGGAAAGTGTGGTCTTCGGGATCGGCCATAGGGGTTGGCTCCGAGGATAGTGGGACCATTGGGGGCGCCTCGTTCTCTGTTGCCAGATAGGTATCATACTCTTTCTGCAACAGGAGCATTGCATCGTCAAGCGGCATGTTGCGGTGTTCTGGAAAAGTCGCACACATAGGTCATTAAATAATAATCAGCCCTTGGTGAAATCGATCAGGAATAATACTAATAATCATTCAGCTGTAAAATCATTTCGGAGCCTAGTAGCTACGCCACCCGAAGAGAGCACGGAGGTTGAGACAATGGCAGGTTGCCCAGGCCTAGACGAGCAGTCGAGATGCGGATATTCCGGTCGCTAAGCTATTTCGAGTTCACGGGTAATTAGGAGGATTACTGACACCTTTACCAAGAAAACACAAGGCTACAAACACCACCATAAGCACCAGCATAGATGAAATTTGAAATCAACCTTCAAGAGACAAGTGCTATGGTAAAGATAAGATGTTGGGAGGAAAGCGTCAAAGCACTGTGTTTACTTCTGCACTCGGACAAGAGATGAGTACAGAGAAAACTTTTACGTTTCCCCAAAGTCAAGTATTTGCCAAAATGAGGCTTCTGGAATTCCGAAGATGGTATAAAGCACAAAACTTTTATGGAAGGTGGGAAAATGAGGCACAAGATCTACATCACCGCATTTTATGAAGGCTGAATACACTCTAAACAGTCGTTGCACAGACTAGCTGTACTTTTCAATGAACTCTAGCAGTGATGGTGCCGAAACCTTAGTGATAAAAAAACCTGAGAATGTTTCAGATCCCTGACTCACAACCATAAACTGACATGCACCGCAACCTTGTACACATCTGGTGGTGTGCTCTAACGATGCTACGACCCGTATCAACTGAAGAACACGACTTAGTCGTAATAGGATACTCAACGGCTCTTACATGCTTACCTTGCTGGGTTGGCACATACAGAATACGCAGGGTACATGAGCCATGCGTCCAGTTAGTTGTCGTACAGATGATGGCGAACGGGACACGATCTCTAGTAAGGTCAGCTAGACAGGGTGTCAAGTGATCCGCTGAGAGAAGAACGACAATGTGCGTGCGCAGAGAGGCAGGATCGCGGTTTTCCGGTATCCGGATTCCAGTAGAGACGCGTTTTTCAATTGTCTCTGCGTAGGGTACGAGGTCATGTTGAACAGCGACAATAGCAACTGTGTAGGGTGGTGGTGTTCGAGCGGTAGTTGCAGTGGAGCTAAGGGCTTTTGGTGCGGCGGGAGCTGACCCGTTGACAGGCCTATTGTAAACGACCGAGAATAAAAACGTCAGTGTTGACAATGAAGGTAAACCATGCAACTTGAGATTTGACCTAAAAGTAGGAGAATCCGGTAAGAACGCTGCTCCACGAAACTGTTGAGCTGAAAAGTTGGCTGACTCAGGTATACCAGAATTAACTGAGACATATGCATTTCACTACACAATCAATTATCTGGTATTTCTAGGGAGCAGCACGTCCCTGGAGGTCGAGCGCTCTCTTGGGGAAAAAAACATGAACTTAACTCCAACTGTGGTTCCTAATTAGAACTGAACAAACATGCGGAGTATCACCTACCCAGTAGTATCACCTCCAGCGACTTCTGACAGCCAGTTCAAGGGATGTACGTGTCGGCGATCTCCACGTTGACCTCTGAAAGAACAATGTACAGAGAATGAGCTACCATAAGTTGTCCAATTTGTGGCAATAGGGAATAAACAGATTAGTACTTATTTAACAAACTTCAAGCAAAACTAGTAACTTCGATAACATTGAGACGATCAAGAAACTAGGGGTGTGTCGCTAAGCACGACCACAAGGTTGTAGTGATGATAAAGCCTCTTAAGCAAGCAACAGGACAACTGCACGAGTGAAGAACTATGTCGTGCAGTCGCAGTAAAAGTGAGCTGTGATAAGACTCACAAGGGGCTACGCGAACGTTTGCGTGGAGATAAGTCTTCACGTCGTCGGCGCCGGTCGTATGAGGATCCATCATGGTATCGACCACGGGGAGATACGTCCCGTTCGCGAGTTCGACCACGATCCCTTTCCCGTGTACGATCCCTATCGGAATCTCGATCTCTATCGCGATCACGCGAACCTGGCGGTTGGAACCGTCTTCCACCAGCTAGATACCGGTCAACCGGGGGCCCGGATCGACGTAGTGAACTCAACGTCGACGGTTCAACATGCTTGACAGAAACTATTGAACCAAAAAACTGTGCTCCATCTTCACACTGAACTGCCCCAGCGGCCTCAAGATCCGAGTCAAATTGTACAAGTAGGCAGTCCTTGTAGATGAGGATTTCTGCAGACGGGCAATTAAAACAGCGAAGTAGATTAAAAGTGCGTCTAGATGCATCCATCAATGTTAACTGTAAAAAGAACCTCAACTGCTGTCTGGCGGCTGTGTATAAACATCCTCTAATAAATGCAGATAAAAAATAAAGAGATAGAAGAAGATCGGACCTTCAGAAAAGGGCTTTCACTTCCTCAACCATGGACGAATTACAACGGGAGCACCGTCGAATATATATAAATATATAATGAGCGACGTTGCGTTCAGCTGTAGCACCCTTCCGGTGCCTAGCTGCCATGCCACCCGAAGGAAGCACGAGGGCTGGGATACTGCCAGGTTGCCCAAGCCTAGACAGGGGAAGTCGAGTGGCGGAGGTCGGATTCGAACCGCGGACCTTCAGGTTAGTAATCCGCGCTCTAACCACTTCGGCCATCTCGCCCCAATAAATGCAGAAGTCTGAGCTGAACATAAAAAAGGCAACGCATGGAGGGCGATCTAGAGTAAAACACTCCAGGTTGTTTGTTTGAAATAATTTATTCGCAACGTAATTCTCGCGAATAACATCCCGCTGGATGACAGCAAAAGAACGACAGACCATTCACAGCAGTCCCTCAAACCGGCCTCTATCAATTCAGATACGACCCCGTGAGGATCAGCTTAGAACGGCCTCCGAGTATCTAAGATGACCTCCGGGTGTTTTCCAGGGAAAACTCTACTTTGACCAAAGACCAGGATACAAAATTCTTATATTGTTGTGCGAAGTACGCGTCTGATGAATCACACTACAGCCGTGATTGAGGGACTAAGACATCATTTTCCCTTGGGTAGAACGTCCAGCAAGTGGGTGAACGAGTCTCCATGCACACTACTTTGGTTGGGAGATGCACAATGACACATTTAAAACATGGCATTGCTTCTGGTAGAAGTGGCACTTCTGTACATTTTCGTCTCGAAAAGGGTGATTTCCAGAACTGCATTATGAACCAGTCAACTGCAGGCACGTTTCTGGAGTAGCTTGATTCCCGCTGCCATAGATTCGTTCCCATGTCGAGAAAAACAGGGACAGTCGTGCATCGCCTATTTTGAAGAGACTGAATAGTCTATGCTTTCACATCCTCGAGTCAAAAAAGCTACACATTGCGTGCACCATTCATATTCACAAATGCCACTAGCTGTTGCTGTTTCATCATTGGATCCTCACCTAGAAATGCAGTTGCCAGGGTGAATGAGTTTACACAAGACATTCACAGTGAGTCAGCAGTGAAGCATCGGTCATGCTGTCGTTTCCACCGTGTTCGGTCAAGCGGAAATAATCAGCCGGACCGCTTAACTGTTAATCCTTTTCCCGACCAGTAATCCAGCGATGTTCCGGGCAATGGTGGCCACTGAATATCTCCATGGCGGGGTTAGCTGCTCCGTAAGCTTCGATGGCTCAACCTCGCAAGCCACGTGCTACCTGAAGTCATGCTCCAAACTTGGTCTCATCAAGCTGCGCTGGAAAAGCTTATTAGCTACATTTGCAGCTTTACGCACGGAGCATCCGCAGCTGCGCTGGAACAAACTTACTGTAAGAACTAGTCATTTGAGGACCTCCTAAAACGGTATGCATCTATATTCGCCGGCGCAGCAAAGTGGCAGCAAAGTTGGCCCAGTCAGGTAGACCCGACACACACCGAATCCGGCTGACAGAGGCGCAGATCCTGTCCACAGGACCGAGTGAGTTGAGTCTAAAGCTCTGGACACACATTCACAGTGAGTCAGCAGTGAAGCATCGGTCATGCTGTCGTTTCCACCGTGTTCGGTCAAGCGGAAATAATCAGCCGGACCGCTTAACTGTTAATCCTTTTCCCGACCAGTAATCCAGCGATGTTCCGGGCAATGGTGGCCACTGAATATCTCCATGGCGGGGTTAGCTGCTCCGTAAGCTTCGATGGCTCAACCTCGCAAGCCACGTGCTACCTGAAGTCATGCTCCAAACTTGGTCTCATCAAGCTGCGCTGGAAAAGCTTATTAGCTACATTTGCAGCTTTACGCACGGAGCATCCGCAGCTGCGCTGGAACAAACTTACTGTAAGAACTAGTCATTTGAGGACCTCCTAAAACGGTATGCATCTATATTCGCCGGCGCAGCAAAGTGGCAGCAAAGTTGGCCCAGTCAGGTAGACCCGACACACACCGAATCCGGCTGACAGAGGCGCAGATCCTGTCCACAGGACCGAGTGAGTTGAGTCTAAAGATGCCTCTGGACACTTGATCCCCGCACCATTTAATCAGCTGATCCGTTGGAGGCCCAATTTGTGCATGCATTACGACCGAGGCCCTGGACAGACAGGATCCGCAAGCCACTCCCTTCGACCACCAACGATGGTAATCTTTTTCTATCTCAGATCCAATTTTGACACTGTTGCTTGTCAGAAACTCCGGCAGTATCCGACGATGAAGGGTATCACTTCTGAATTCCTATCTAAAAGCGTTCTATAGCCTTCACGCCTGAACGCTTACATGTCTAAGACAAATTTTCCTCTAGGTTCATCTTATCCAGTGAAGCCAGGGAAGGATATCCTGCATCGTCCTTTTTCTTTAACTTCGTAATAGATATGCCATTTGAGTCTTCCTTACCGGCATATCACAGCTCAGATAAAAAGAAAAAGAAAGATAAAGCGTTCAGCTGTAGCACCCTTCCGGTGCCTAGCTGCCATGCCACCCGAAGGAAGCACGAGGGCTGGGATACTGCCAGGTTGCCCAAGCCTAGACAGGGGAAGTCGAGTGGCGGAGGTCGGATTCGAACCGCGGACCTTCAGGTTAGTAATCCGCGCTCTAACCACTTCGGCCATCTCACAGCTCAGGGATACAGATAATCCCGGGGCGTTCGCTAACAGGCATTGAGCACGCTAACAATATCGCTATCTTTGGACCACATCCTTGAGAAAAGTATACATATATATACTATACAATACTATACTAATCTAAACGGTTCTGCTGCAGTTCGGTAGGGGCTTCGCACCAGGGAAGTTTAAAATACGATTGCAAAACTGGGTGGAACAGAATCCAAACCTCATGCTTACAGGTGGCCCGATCGACGTGGGAGACATGTTAGTACACTGAATAAACGCGTAAGTTTTGGCGGACTGCCGTAAGACGCAATCAACCCCCGAACTGGGAAGCCCGGGGCAGCATTAACATGCCGTTGAAGCGAACGGTGCAAAGGACGTCACAATGATTGCCCTGGTTTTCATTTGTCCTCCTACCCTTCTTGAAAAATAATCACCAACGTACCCTGTTCCCTCGACATTTCGTTGTTGCCAGGTTGCGGAGGCTGGGTTCGAACCACAAACCATCCTGTCAGTAAGTTCGTGCCTTAACCACTGAGCTATCTCGATCACATCGAGGTTGATATTCATATCTGATCCACTCAAGGTGATGACATACATTTTGGCAGACTTTTTTTCAGCAGACAAGGACGCAACTAGCTGGTTTGTCCAAAATCGTGGATGTACAACTTACTGTTTGCGTGATGTCATAAGCCGATTTGGCCAAACATTCCAATCCAAACATCCCAATCAAAAGGTCCTTCAACAGAGCCATCACGTTGCCGCAGAATTAACACCAACGGCGGGACCACGTACTAAGTTATACTTAAAAGTAAGCTTTCGGTTTTATCTGAAGAGACATCCGTGGTGACATGAGTTTTGTCTGCTTAGTGTTATACTTACCCCATATGCTCGTATTGAACCTTGCATGTACGTTTCAGCTCATTCACACGTGTTCTTAGACTACTAAAACGTTAATCCTTGATAACCAGGACTCGTTCTCGGACACATCCTAAAAGCTTTACGTTGGTCCAAAGGACCCAACTTTTCCAATATCATGAAGTTTTCCCAAATAGCATTTGGAGAGGAAAACGACTAGGGCCCCGTTATAACAGGAAAATGCAGTATTGAAAAAATGACCGCAACTGGGTATCGCCGAAGTGCGAATTTTGGATATACTGTTGTACAGATTGTCAATGAACTGAGCTTCAAGTTTCTGTCACGACTATTCATGTCAGCTCATCAAAGGCATGGGAAATATTTAACACAGTACACCTAAATTGCCAGAATTTGTAGTAGGGCGAAAAACGCGATATGATCCCATTAGTTCCTCATTCAAAATTTACATATGTCATGTTCGCACCAAACGGGCATTGCATGAGGAGATTTGGGAACTGAGCAGAAAATTTCGTCATATGAATGAAGCCAATCTATGCTGAAAAGCCAAGAAGCACCGTACGGCTGTTTCATCACCAGAATGGGCCAGCGGGAACAAGCTACCGCCAACACCCCCTTTTCTTCCGCTTATCATAGTTTCTTTCCTCTCCACTCACGCCATCAATGACTTTATGAGCCCATCCGTTAGGACCATCATCATCGACAGCATGACATTAGTGTTCAACACCGATGCTTCACTGCCGGACCGAATACCCTATCGCTGTTTCGTTGGTCTTTGGATTCGAAATCAATATTCAAGCCTCGATGCCCGGTCTCTCTGGTCGCATTTGATGTTTGCACTCTGAATTAAGCAGGACAACAAGCTCTCACACTCGACTAGCTTGACATTGATGATTGCTGTGTATCAGAAACAAGAATCCAAGACGAAGACAAAATGAGCCAACTGCCCAAACACTCTTCACTCGTTTCAGGGGGCTGGCCTCTGCGATCTGGAGACACTTGCGGCTAAAAATGTAGGGGCCGGCATCGCCTTACGTCACCGAATGGATGTTTGTTTGACTGGATACCCATTGACAGTCGCCTTAGTGCGGTTCGCCAGGCAGCGTTCTTCAAGGAATCTCACAAGCGGAAAGTTGGACATCGTCTATCGTGCCTGCTTACACCCCAGGTGATCGTAGCCCTGATACTACCAAAAACCGTCATTATGATCACAAGGGAAACTACTTATAAGGCTGCAGGAAATTCTTCAGTAGTCTCCCGTGAAAACCTAATTGATATGCATGAGTGTATTTGTCGAGATCTTTATTATGTTTTGAATGTCCTGTTATGGTGTAGTGGAAACTTAGATGTCACTGTGATTGCCGGAGAT